ACTACCACATAAATGTGTGCAATTCAACTATATACAGCGGAAAAGAAATACAGAATTAACGGTCAAGTATGGGAGGGGAAGCATGCTGCGGGGGAGATATCGATTCCAAATAGAAAGACAACAAGTAAACGAAAGAAACAATATAACTCGGATATCAACAAAGAATCAGAAATCAATAAATGTACGGCATCACCCTTCGTGCTTTTACTCTCGTCCTCACCAAAGCAATCATATAATAAAAATGTGCATGGCATCACCCTTTGTGCTTTTACTCTCTTTCCTCGCCATATAATTAATATAATCGGCACGGAATGGTACATCGTGCAGCACGGCATCACCCTTCGTGCTTTACACTCTTTCCTCACAATCATACACGGCATCACCCTTCGTGCTTTACACTCTTTCCTCACAAAAACAATGCACGACATCACCCTTCGTGCTTTAACTCTCTTTCCTCACCCAAAAAATGATCACAAACAATAGGGCAAGGGAAATAAATGAATTGCAATAATAACCCCGGCAAGGGAACAATAATTCAACAACAAGTCCCGGCAAGGGAAATATCAATAAAAGCAACAATAGCCCGGCAAGGGGGCAATATAAAGATCTCTTCTCTTTCTCACTTTTACTTCACAATTCACTTCACAACTCGATCCAATGCTCTAAAGGTTCAATTATCACTTATACTTTCACAATTCACTTCACAACTCGAGCCAACGCTCCTCAAGGTTCATAGGTCACAATTCCTTCCACAAACTTTACACAACAAATAGAAACCATCACCATGGCATGAAAGATACAACGAAGTCATGATATTCACAATATAAAGACTCACGGGCAAGCTAGACACAAACGTATAGATACTCGTCACCATGCCTATACGTCGTACTCAACCTTTACCACATAGAAAATAGGACTCGACTCCTAATCCCTCAAGCTAAGGTTAGACCAAACACTTACCTCGATGCCACGAACACAATTCACGTCTCAATTATAGCTTTACCCCTTGATTCCGCCACCAATTCGCTCGTATCTAGTCACATGTTACTTAATTACATCAATAAACGCTAAATGAATTAATTCTAATGCATGAAAATGAATTTTCCAAAGTTTTACCCAAAAAGTGAAAAAAATCGCCCCCGGGCCCACATGGTCAAAACCCGAGGTTCGAACCAAAACCCGATTACCCATTCCCCACGAACCCAAATATATAATTTGTTTTGAAATCGGACCTCAAATCGAGGTCCAAATCTCCATTTTTTTAAAAACCTAGGTTCTACCCGAAATACCCAATTTCCCCCATGAAAATCATTGATTTTAAGTTAAATCATGTTAAAAGATGTTAATGATTGAAGGAAACTAGTTTAAAATGACTTACCATTGATTTGGAAGAAGATTTGTTCTTGAAAAATCGCCCTAGGGAGTTTGTGTTTTGAAAAGATGTGAAAAATAGGTTAAAATTCGTCTAAGTATAAAAGTTGCAGGTCTCAGATGTGGGAATTGCGAACCCCGACCTCTGCTATGCTGGGAATTGCGAAGGGGATCTCGCATTTGCGAGACGCGATTTGCGAAGACAGCGTCGCATTTGCGATGCCTGGCCATTGGGGGGGAGAATCGCATTTGCGATAAAATTCCTCGCATTTGAGAGGTAGTTGGCCTGGGCCTTTGATCGCATTTGCGACAAGGCCTTCGCATTTGCGAACTCGCATTTTGCGAGTCAGGCTTCGCAAATGCGAAGCCTACAGGCCTGAACACACCAGCTGAGAAATCTGCAATTTTCCAAGTCCAAAATACACTCCGTGGCCTGTCCAAAACTCACCCGAGCCCTCGGGGCTCCAAACCAAATATACACACAACCTCAAAAACATCCTACAGAGTTATTCGTGCAATCAAATCACCAAAATAACATCATGAACACCAAATTAAACCTCAAGATCAATGAAATTTCTCAAAACTTCTTTAAACATCAAGTTTTGCATTTAAGGTCCGAATCACGTCAAATGGACTCCGTTTCTTACCAAACTTTACCAACAACACATATAAATCATATTGAACCTGTACCGGGCTCCGAAACCATAATACGGGCCCGATACCATAGGTTTCACATAACATTTCACTTTCAAAAGCCTTTATATTTTTCAGAAAACAATTTCTTTCAAAAATTCATTTCTCGGGCTTGGGACCTCGGAATTTGATTCCGGGCATACGCCCAAGTCCCATATTTTCATACAGACCCTCCGGGACCATTAAATCACGGGTCCGGATCCGTTTACCCAAAACGTTGACCGAAGTCATCACAGTGAGAGAATGTTAAAGCACGAAGGGTGATACGGTGCGCTTGTCTTTGATCTCCTGATTTATATTGGTAACTGAGTTATGGTTTCTCTACATTTAACTGTTGGTTTTCTGTTGATCCTAGTTGTTCCCCCCCCTCCCCCCCAGCATGTTTCCCTTTCCTATCTTTAATTGTAAAGTTTTGCCTTTATTTTTCGCTGTACATGATTTAACTGCACAGGTTTATTTGGTAGTCTTGTCCTAGACTCGTCACTACTTCGCCGAGGTTAGGCTAGGCACTTACCAGCACATGGGGTCGGTTGTGCTGATACTACACTCTGCACTCATTTGTGCAGATCCCGGTACTGGAGCATACAGACCTTAGCTTTGGGTTGCTGCCTTCAGTCCATTCAGAGACTCGAGGTAGTCCTACAGGCGTCCGCAGGCCTTGACGTCTCCTTCTATCCTTTCATTATGTTTCTTTTATGTATTTCAGAGACAGCGTTGTATTTATCTTTCGGATCCTTATTTGTAGTATTCCTAGACAGTCTATGAAATTGTGACACCAGTTCTGGGTAGTTTATGTTATGAATTGGTATTGGCATCATTATTAAAATATTATATTTCAGTCTTCCGCTTATTAAATTCCGCTATTTATATGATGTTTGTTCTTAATTGTCAAAGGATTAAAATGGAAAAAAGGTAAATAATACAAATGGTTGGCTTGCCTAGCTTTCACTAGTAGGTGCCATCACGACTCCCGAGGGTGGAAAATCTGGGTCGTGACAAAATAATACAATAACTATAAAAGAACAAAAAGAAAAAAGAATTTGCATAAAAATGATGTGATGAATAAGATTTATTTGAGTTTTAGATAAAAACAAAGTGATAGTTAGAATTTTGTTAAAATAATATGTTCTAATGTGCTCAAACAAGACATATCACAACATGATATGTTTAGTATTCTTTAATATTTACATCAAAATGGAACACATACTAGAATCAAGAGGTTAGGTTGCTACAAATATAGAAAAAATAGGTTGTCGACTACGACATTTTGAAAAACAATTTCATATCCTGCTCCTTAACTAATATCTAATGATTATATAATTTTTTTTTCTTAGAGGTTTATTTTAAAGTAATCTGCACATGATTCAAACAATTTACATCACAATTTGATATGATTTGTGTCCGCACGTCGCGGTGAGTACTAATACTAGTAATAGATTATTTCTGAAATTTGACAAATGACAAGCTGTTCGAATTTTCAACCGAGACTGTAACAGTCCATTAATAGGCAGGGAGGAAATTATACCAAATCCTTTTGGTCTTCCGTAATTGGTATTACCTTATGAGTTATGATATTGGTTAAATTTTCTTTATCTAATCTTTATCCTTTGTCAAAACTCAAAAACTAAGTTATCTATTAGCTGATTGGTTAATTTTAACTTGGTTCGCAGGGACTTTTTCTATTTCTCAGTTGATAATTAAATACTCACAATATTTGCTATTAAAAAAACAAAATTAAAACAAGTTCTTTCAAAACAATGCAAAAATCAAACTGCTTATAATCGAAACCCCACTTTATTAGCTTCATATAACCTAAAATTTTAAAATGCATGCCTACACGCAACGCATTATATTGAAATTACGAAAGAACAGTCAGTGTCAATAGCCAAAAAACAATATGCCAAACCCCAAATTAGCTTCATAATCTAAATGCATGCCTATACGTATCATTTTGAAAGAAAAAAAAAGCCGGTATCAATAGCAACAAAAAAACATGCTGACATAATTTAATTTGATAAATAAAAGTCTGTTGATTGTCCTGATTGTGTATCGTTGAGTAATTACAGGTTAACCCCTCAGAGGTGTGCTAAGATGATTGAGATTCATTTAGTCTTTACCAGAGTTCTCGATTTAATTACAGAAATAAAAAAAATTGTACAAATATATTACAACCCTTAATAGGTCTATTTGACACGAATCTAAATAAGTTAGACAATTGAGTTTAGAGTACTGATTACCTGAACACAGAGTAAATTATTTCAATTTAATTGGCACACTTTCTTTGTTAGTCTGTTAAAAAAAGAATGACACATTTTTATATTTGAAAATAATTTAACTTTAAACTTTTCATTTTATCTACTTTACCTTAATAAGAATCTTTTATAGGCACAAAAATGTCATGGTCCCACAAAGCCTTTGCCCCTTAATCTTTTTAGGAATACATGCTTTAAAAGTCTTTTTTTTTCTTAAACAGTCTCTTGCAGAAATGTAGGGTAAAATTGCGTACAATAAAGCCTTAGGATTCGGAGAAGTATAGCGGAATCTTAGTACACCGGATTACCTTTTTTTTCCCTTAAACTTTGTGACAAGTCAAATATTCCGGTACAAATACGCAAAGCACCAGCCCATATTCCAACACAACAAGTCCAATTCGAAAGGTTACGAAAAGCATTAGTTGTGTACTCCACTATTTCCCTTTTGAAATCATTGAAGCCACAGAAACAAAGCCCAAGGAATCCAAAATTCTTTCCTCACCCGGCCCATAACTCTCTCTCCCTTAAGCCCTGGCCCACGAGAACCAAATTACGTGTACATTACGGTAGACGTGCCCGTAAAAAGTGGACACGCGTCACATGTTAAATTGCCGACCAAAGACAACTATAGTAAACAAAAAGTTCAAATCCCATGAGGTCACAAAGACTTCGTACAAAATGCCCACCCTAACCGCCCCAGCTGTCCCAACCACATATAAGTATAACATCTTTTTCTCTAGAATTCACTCAAGAAATTGCAATATACATTGATTTAAGACACACCCTTTTGAAAAGAAAGAAAATCTAGTCACGAGAAAGTTAGAAAGTGAAAAAGAAAATGGAGAAAAATGAAGTGATGGACGGTTCAGATATAATGAAGTTAGTTGGAAATGAAGCAGTGTTTAGTAACTTTGTAGATCATAAGTTTGAAGAACTGGACATAGACCAAGACGGTAAGCTTTCTGTTAAGGAGTTACAACCTGCTGTTGCTGATATTGGTGTTGCTCTTGGTTTACCTGCTCAAGGTTCTTCTCCTGAATCTGATCATATTTACTCTGAGGTAATTTGTTTCTCCCAAAAATTCTTTTTTTTTTTTTAGTCAAGTGTCTGTCCGAAACAGCATCTCAGGCCTTCCAAGGTAGGGGTAAGACTGCGTGCATCCTATCCTCCACAGACCTCACTCGTAGGACTGGGTTGTTGTTGTTGGTGTAACTTGTAAATGTGGTTGTAAATGGTTCATTTATTTTCTTGTTTAAGATCAAGAATGAGGCCTAGTTTAATAGCTCACATGGACTATTTTTCTTTATCACTTCCTTCTATTTTATTTTTTTGGAACATACCACTCAAGTTTTTGTGTTAATTTGGCCTTTTCGTTGTTTCTTTTTTCTTTTTATAATCTTTGCATTTCTCGCTAAATACCATTTTAACCAAAGTTTAGGCCGAGAGAAACATGAAAAAAGAAGAAAGGTAAAAACTTTGCACACTCTATCCGGTAATTCTACCTGCCAAGACTTAAGAACTTACTTTCTTTTATTTCGACTAGGTGAATTTCTATCATTTTATCTACTTTATTGACTGCTAATTCACACTCTTGTACTCGAAAATTTAGACAAATGGTAAACGCAAATTAAGGAGGTGGTATAGCCAGATGTTTAATGATGAGAGTGGTAGAGCTGACAAAGCCACTCAGTTTGCTTTTGGTGTCTGGACTATCGGTTTATTTACTCCGTTTTTTATTCAAAGGTCCAAGTTTCTATAATTTGTATCTGATCTCATTTGTTTGACTTTCAAGTTTCAACTATCATATGGATTTTTGCACTTACCTGTTATTTTTTAACTTGGATGTATACTACGTTTTTCTACCATTATCTGGATCTGGTATCTACTACAGACAGGGGCGTATGCACCTTGTTTGAAGCGGTGTCACGTGACACCGCTTAGTCGGAATTTTTTCGTAAAACTATATGTACCAATAATAAATAAAATTAAAATATTGGATAAAAATATAAAAAAATGACACCAGTTGCCGTTACAGTAATCTTTTCATTTGTTGACACCACTTATAAAAATTCCTGGGTACGACGCTGACTACAGAACAGTAGCTATATGTGGGATCAGATGAAACTTCCTCGTTGTTTCATCTGATTCGTCCTTTTATTCTTTTTCCTGCTGTTGTTGACTGAAAGATTTCTGCGCCTGATTCCTAGGTGCATTTAGTGAAGATAGATTTTTAAAAAAAGTAGCTTAAATTCTGTGCACATTAAGTTGCATACAATTAATTTCTCGTAGCAAGACTAATATGATAACCTGAATAAAAGAATCAGTTAAATTGTTCTGATGTTGTTAAAAAAAATTGTAAGTCCTATGTATATAAAGCTTTTTACCAAAGAAAAGCTTAGTATGGTGGGGACTTTGCATCTCTGTGCCAAAACAGTTTTGTTTAATCACCTTAAGATCTAAACATCCTGTCGTTAATTAGCTTTCACAAAAAGAAAGGAAACTAATGAATTAAGTTGGGTAGTGATGTAATTGGACATTGCTAACCAGTCAATTTTATGTGATTAGCACAACCCAGAATAGTAAGTATGACCTTCTTTGCGCATGTTAAAAGCTGATGTGACAACAGATGCTTGCTAAAAGAGGAGTAATAAGTTGGCATGCTTGCCAGATTTTTGTGGTTGTACTGTGGGCCAATACATCTTCAATGATCATTAAGCCTACAACTACAACTATGAGCTATGCCTTGTAAATATGAGATTCTAATATATAAAGGATTTTTCGTAGGGCGAAGTGCAACAATAACCACTTTTACGCTATTTAAAATACATCCACAATTTATATTGTATTTAAAGATTAGCCAATGCACCCAAACTTCAGGACTAAGTATCCTGAATTTGAAAATTCAGGACTTAGTGTCCTGAATTTTTGAGCTGCTAATTTGAGATCCAGGACAAAGTTCTTGAATTTCTGAACTATTAATTTAAAATTTAGGACATAAGATTCGAACTACTGGACACAATTTTCGAATTTTAGGACACGATGTCCTGAAGTTTGAATTTTGAGGTTTAAACTCTAGGACGTCGTGGCCTAATGTTTGAGCGAAATTGGCTAATCTTTAAATACATTGTAAACTGTGGATATATTTTAAACAAACTTATGCTCATTTTTCTTACCTCAGTATTCCCTTTCTCACTGAATCCAGTTTTATATTGTTACCTCTTTCCATTATCCCGTTTGATCTAATTCTTATTAATGGACGTAATGTGACATAGGTTCTTCAAGAGTTTACACATGGAAAGCAAGAGAAAGTAAGCAAGACTGAGTTCAAAGAGGTTCTTTCAGATATTCTACTAGGCATGGCTGCTGGTCTAAAGAGAGATCCTATTGTACTTCTTCGTATGGATGGCGAAGACCTTCTTGAGTTCGTTAAAAGTCCTGCATTTGAACCTGAAATTCTCTCCATATTCTCTGAGATAGAATTGCCTGATGGATCTCTTAAAGATCACATTATCAAGGCTTTTGAAAAGCTTACAGTTGATCATGGGATGCCTCCTGCTTCAGATTCATGGGTAAAAGTTCATCTTTTTTCTCTCTGATGGTTAAATAGCAGATCCGCACGTTCGAACATTATTAACTAATATACACTGACAAATTACACTATCAAGTCACTTAAAATTGGTAACCTGCAAAACATTAAAAGTTACTTGTTACAACAGGTAGACTACACGCAAAAAATCTTTTGAGCTGTAATTGTATATAAGTTAAACCTTTCGTTATATACCTCTCTAAACGAGGCTAAGGCGATAAGAAATACTACACATGGTATCTATTCTTACCTGGCTAATTTGTGGTTGCTTACTGATTCATAACTTTGCTGCTTGCTAGCTCATGTAACTTATTTGTTACGCATTTATATTTGTGATGAGAATTCTTTGCTAATTAGTAGAGCATATTACTTTGTTATTATCTTGCTCTGTAGGTAATGAGTAATGTTGTGGAGCCAGTAGTTGATTCCTGCATTGGAGCATCTAATGAGCAACCTGTTTCACAAGAGACATTTTTGGCTGAATTTAAGAAAGTTGCAGAGAGTGCTGCTCAACGTCTCAAGGAGCAGCCAGTAATTGTTGCTCACAGTGAGAATACATTTGATGGAAGTGGAATTAGAAGACTATTGTCTAACAAGTTTGAATTGGATAAGGTATATGTTAGTGTCATCCATGGTATTCTCTTCTGGACCTAATAACATATCATACTACTACAAGAAATGAGACTTTTGTAGCGACTAAACTCTGTCACAATAAGTGGAAAAGTTGCCATAAAATACTTTTCCAAGTGGCCTGAGAGTCGCTACAAATTTCTTTCTTATCGAGAAACAAAAGCTTAGTACATATTCGTGGCTACCTAAGTATAGTTCCCACTAAAATATTACTTTCTGGGCGACTACAGAGTCACCACTAAAACTATCATTTACCACCATAGAAACCCTTACTTCTATGGGAAGTCGCCAGTGAAAATCTCATTTCTTGTTATGTCACTTTCTTGGCACTGGTAAAGTTGTTGGTTTGTGACCAGGAGCTCATAGATTCGAGCTGTGGAAACAGTCTCTTGCAGAAATATAGGGTAAGGCTGCGTATAATAGACCCTTATGGTCCGGACCTTCCCCGAACTCTGCTCATAGCAAGAGCTTAGTGCACCGGGCTACCCTTTTTACTACTTGGTTCTCTTCAGACTGTTACTTAACCTTTGGTGTTTAACTATGGTGGTGCAGGCGCTGGATTCTGCTGTAAAGACTGTACCCAAAGATCGCCATGGGAAAATGTCAAAGGAATACTTACGAGTTGCACTCGATCTCCTTGCACCATCAGCTGGTTTACCTCCCATTGGTGCTGTTGACCAGGTAATTGTCAACTAAGGATTTAACTTATATGACTGAAAATGTTTTAAAAAAATTACACTATCAGCATTTTTAACATATTGTAGCAAGTAATCTACCTTATTTTTCAGGCTACTAGTCTCACTTTTTTATGTAGTTATCTCATCTTGTATGTGCCTGTCAGTGTATAGTAGTTAAACTCATCAACTAATACGTCATGTTTTTGCTTTGTTAAAAGCTGGCTTTGTGTGTGATATAGTTGTATCCCGCGTGTTTGCAGATGGATAAGATCATAATTGAAGCTTGTAAGATGTTGGATGCTGATGATGGGAAGATGGTTAAAGAGGAAGAGTTCAAGAAATTACTGACAGAAGTACTGGGGAGCATGATGCTGCAATTAGAAGGAAATCCAGTTTCAGTGTCCACAAACTCAGTTGTGCATGAACCTCTTGCTTCTGCCTCTACACTCTTGCAGCCTCCATCTAATTCTGAGATGTAACTGATCCTATGGAACTAGACGTAAAAGAATAACAGGGGATGTATTATGTAAATTTATCTGAGCTATTAAATGTTACATAAGGTCTTTGACTAGTTTAAAGATTGAATGAGTAATCTTATTTTTTAAGTACAACCACATTCAGATACACCATAAGCGTCAACTATCATCGTATTTCTACTACTTCTTTGTGAAAATGGATGCAGATTAGTTTGTTTGCTAGTAAAAATTCTTAACTTCGTACGATTACGTTTAAGTGGAGAGGGCGAACCACCGATGAGACTTATATCAAGCTTTAAGCTCACCCATTGGCTCAAGTAATTACATGGTTACTGAGTATACTTGTAAATACTTGTGAATAAAAATCTCGCTAAAGACAGTGATAGGTTGATAGTAGGGGTGGCAAAATGGTTAAAAGAAAACAGTTAACCACCCATATTATCCACTAAAAATGGGTTGGATAATGAACATTTTAAAAATGGGTCAAATATGGATAAGAACCATATTATCCATTTAGAAAATGGATAACCAATGGATAATCAATGGGTCTAACTTTTACATTTTTATCCGTATTAAATATGGGTCAGGTAATTGATCCGTTTTTTCATTACTCGTTTCGACCCGAACCATATCCGACCCGACTCGGCCCACCCGTTTGCCACTCCTAGTTGATAGCTTCACAATGCGCTTTTGTAACTGCTTAGAATGTTGCCATTTTGATTTTGTAACTTATGGCGAATAAAAAATTTGGCGAAATGCAGGGTATTCCTTTACCCTTAACTAGAGTTTTCGAGCCCTTGGAGTAGAGAAACTTTTGAAAATGAATACTTCCCTTTGCAAATGATACAGGAAAAATAAAGCCAAAAAAAAGGGAATTTTGACAATCATGCTCAAACCTATTTTAGGTTCCAAGATCAAGATTCGTGTTTTGTCTGCAAGTGTGAGAACATTCTGTGAGTCATACATGAATACTAAAATTCTTGATGCAGGTGTAAGTCAACTCATGTGGTTAGAGTTGACATTTGGAGGATAAGTAGTAAACTTTGAAATTATCCATCTAGCAAAGATGTAAGCTTTTCATATTTACCATAAAAGCTTGTTTTCCTCGAAATCTCAACAAAACAAAGATTTACTAAACAAGAACTACTAATGCTTTGCTACGTTTCTTATGCTCCCTCAGTTCCATTTTATATATGAAGATATTTAGAAGTTTGAAAAAGGAGAAATACTTTTGAAACTTGCAAGTCTTAAACATGCTGCGACATTTCTTTAACTCTAAAATCACATCGTAAAGGTGTAAATGAGAAATTTTAAAATTAAATTGTTTCTTGATATAGAAAGATGTCATATTTTAACATAATACTAAAATGGAAATAGTGCAACATAGTATGAAACACCAAAAGCATATTACATGTTTGCCTCCATACATAAAGGATGTGGGAAAGGACAAACATGCCTTCCAAAGATTTATCTTCTGTTATTTAAGTACTCAAATGTGATGACTCACTAAAGTATCTAAGAAAAAATTCCTTACTATTAGGCCGATGTCCTTTATGAATCTGTCTATTAACATCCTGATGATATTTCCAATGGTCTTCTGCTTTGTTTCAACCAAACATGGAGGACTTAATCCCAAGATAGAATACTCTAAAAACTATTAGTATCTTTCTTTCTACTATCAGTAATCTTCTTCATGAAAAGTTTGTCTCATTATATGTCCCATTCTACTTTTGAAGAACTATATCTCTGTTCCAAATTGCTTTTTCAAGAAACGAAAATGGACTTGATCAGTTTTGGAACAGGGTGTTTTCCCCTGATTTTTGTATTGATAATTACCATGTGCAATCTTTCAGGCAACACCCTTTTCCTTTTTCTTTCTACCTTCATTTTGTTTCTAGTTTGCAAATTAGTGAATACTTTACTTACTTTTTCCTTAATTGCAGATTGTTATGACCCTCTGGATCCCAATGGAAATATTGCAGTTACATATGACATTGTTAGATGGACAGATGATGGTTATCAGGTCAGAAGAATAACACATCATTCTAATATCTACTTCCTTTTTTTGACAGCCAATGCAAGAGATATTACATATAATTATAAATGAGTTTATACATATCTTTAAGATACAAACAGCAGCACAAATAGACATAGTAGATTATACAAGCGCAAAAGCATGATCACTTACCAAATGGGACTTCAACTGTATGTGTATCCTTTTCTTTACCAAATATTACACACTATCTCAAACTCATGACAGGCCACGGTGTAACTCCAGCCGCTGGCAACTGTGGCCGAATCAAAGGAACTCGCTTCACAATAGAGAATGCTTCGTTAAGGCGTGCAGCACGGATCATGAATTGAGATACTTTCTTGTCATCCACAGTTACTTTCAGCTCCAAAGCCTTAGTCTTTTTCTTCAACTTATACAATCTACGACCCAAAATAACTAATCCCATTACAGCAGCAGCTACAGAAAGTGTCCACACAGGGCTAACCCTAAATGCACAAAACTTTAGAAGTTCAATTGGCACCTTCCACCACACAGCGCTCCTCGTCTGTTCCCCTGCTTTCCTCTGTTCTGCTACTTCAGTTATTTCATTCTTCTTTTCATCTTCAGCTTCTCCATTTTCCGGATTTTTTCCATTTTCACTTTTTATCTCTTCATTTCCTTGGAAACACAGTTCATCTCTACCTTCATATTCACCGAATTTTCGTGTTTCGGACTGTTCACTGCCGGAATCAGACCAGAATTCGCCGGAATTTTTCATGGTAAACCGGTTTTCTGAACCGGGATCAATCCAACTCGGATTATCCGATTCTTCAGAAACCTCATCGCTTCCATCAGCACAAGTAAAACCACTCATGTACCTGCTCTGAGAATCTATAGAGAAGTAATTGACCTGAACTATACCACCCGTCTCTAATCCAATTTCATCGTCGAGAACGTTCGTGTTTCCGGCTGAGGCAGCAGTAATTAACGATTCAGAGTCAGAGGTGAGGTTCGGGTGGAGCATCTCCCAATCTTGAAACTCTGCTGTCTCAACATCCATGGCTCGGACGATCAAACCCTAAATTAGGAAAGAAAACTACAGAGAGAGAGAGAGAGAGAGAGAGAAGAGAGAAGGGGTTTTTGAATAGAATCAACTACATTCGGATTGGGGGGTCACCCTTGGAAATGACACCTCACCCTATGGTCCCAAATATCTACTTCTTTAATTGTGCATTTTTATCTACTTGACGTGTGGATATTATTTGAATTGCTCCTGCTATCCCTATTTCATTTATTAAAGTTTTTTATGTGTATTCTTTAACACCAATCACCATATTTCATTTGCTATGGTTCTCGCCTATTCTAATTTTATCGAATTGCTATTTTGTTTCGGATGTTACTTAAATTTTATTGTATTGTATAGTTAAATTTAGAAAAAATGCATAAGTACCCCTTAACCTATATCCAGATTTCCAACTACACACTTTTTCTTTGCGGGAATCCTATTACTCCCCTAAACTTATTTTAAATGGAATTATTTGCACCTTTAACGCTGACGTGGCAGAGTGTGTGTATTTCACTCTCCTTGATTTTCAGATTATTTTTTATTCTTTTTTACCATTTTTTCTTACTTTTTTCTCCTTTTCCTTTTCCTTTTCCTTTCTCCTTTTCCGTTAAAGGGTGCAAATAATTACATTTAAAATAAGTTTAGGGGGGCAATAGGATTCCCGCAAAGAAAAAGTGTGTAGTTGGGAATCCGGGTATAGGTCAGGGGGGTACTTATGCATTTTCCCTTAAATTTACATAAAGATATTATTTTATGTAACGATAATTTGATGTGGTCGTATCATTACTTTATTTCTGCTCTTATTTAATAATCATATATTACCCTTTTCCCTACCTTTTTAACAATAACTCTACCATGTATCCTATTTTTTCTTTGTAATATTGTAAGCTTATTTTTCAGTTTGATTGTGTGTGTCATTATGAAATAGTCAGTCTATCAAAATATTGTATTTATTAAAACAATATTGTACAATAAAATGTGATATATTACGAAACGATGTGTCACAACCATCCAAACAAGCTAACTGTTGGGTGTGCAAACAAAATCTCACGTTGGTAGTTGAAAAGATTTGGAGCCTACATATAATGGTGTGAGGCCTCTTAGGGAAATCCGTACGGGCTTGGCCCAAAGCGGACAATATCACACCATGTTAAGAGTGTATTTGGGCCGATTTAGCCCAACACTAACCCTTTCTTTGGCTACCAAGTCAGTGTTATTCCGTAGAATTTCTTGTAAAGCAAAATGTACTCATCAAGTGTAACTACATTGTGTGTGTAAAACACTAAAATTTCAACAATATACAATTGTGAATCCATAATCACAAAAGTACAATGTGTTAAGAGCTAAGAACTTAAAGGTTAGAGCCATCAGGTTAAAGTTCTTGATCAGCTATGGTATTACCATAGCTTCTATGAGTCAATGCGCACAAAATGTAAACAAAAATTTGCTTCGGGAGATGTATTGCTGCTGGCAAGTGGAAAAATATTTTGTGGTAGAATAGATAAACTTAGATCATTGTGGGATACATAGAAGTAATTGTCAAAATCTAGCTGCAAGCTAGCTGTGTATGAAATTCATAATCTAGACAATTTGAATATGTTCATAGCTTAGGTTGTTTTTTATCTGATTTATGTTGAGTTATTGTTGAGCTGCCTATGCCGCCTTATGACTTAAGAATATAGTCTCTTCTAGCACCTTTAAATTGTTAGACAACAAAGCTTATAGTGGTAGAGTCATCTGTTTATATTCGTTGCTCTCTAACTTGACTATAATGCTTCAGGCAAAGATAACCATTCAAAATTACTATCAGTACAGACATGTTGAGAAACCGGGATGGCAATTAGGATGGACATGGGCTGGTAATGAGGTTATTTGGTCAATGTCTGGTGCTTTTGCCACCAAACAAGGGAATTGTTCAACCTTCAAATTCGAAATTCCACATTGTTGCAAGAAAGATCCTATTATTGTTGATCTCGCGCTAGAAGCTCCACGGGAAAAAAGATCAGATGGTTGCTGTCATGGTGGATTTCTTGCTGCCTCGGCTATTAATCCTTTCAAATCTTTCGTATCCTTTGGGATGAAAGTTGGAAACTTGAGGGGCAATTATACAGCTCACAAGCCTTTAAATATCACACTAATGGCTCCAGGACTTGGTTATACTTGTGACGAATTTGTGGACACTGATCCAACAATATCTTCGGTTATAGAAGGCAAAAGACAAGAACAAGTTATCAGTAAGTACTCTATTTCGGAACCTTATACTAAACCTTTAGCTTGCAGGAAGCAAAATTTGAATTTGAGAGAGCTTCCTTAAGAGTTTTACTTTTACTGTGTTCACTGTAAAACGTTGGATTGGCATCACTAAATCGCTTTTCTAAATTGTTACTTATTACTTTCAGGGACATGGAAATCAACATGCACATACTCAACTTTCTTGGCCAACAGATCGCCGATCTGTTGTGTTTCTCTTTCAACATTTTACAATCCTGAGGTGACACCATGCCGTTTGTGTAGCTGTGGATGTAAATTAGCTGACAATGAAGCAAAATCATGCATTAGGTCTGAAATACTGCAATTTTGCCCAATTTTTATGACGTTCTTAACTCCATAAATGTGCACAGTTTATTGATTTTGTTGCTATTAATATATTTGGAACAGACAAAGCTCATTACCATTGTCTGAGCGCGAGCTAGTTCAGTGCACTGATCATATGTGTCCACTTCGAGTTCACTGGCACATTATGAAGAATTACAGGAATTATTGGAGAGTGAAACTTACTATTTCCAATTACAACTTAGGTAAAAACTATTCCAACTGGAATGTGGTAGTCCAACATCCTGGTTTTAGCCAGCAATCAACTGTCTTCAGCTTCAACAATACAGTGCTCCCTACTGTTGGTGTCCCAGGTATTCGATCATGCTGCAAAACCATTTTACTCCATATTTACACCGTCAAAGGATATTGTTAGTAATCTGTGTTCGAAACCAGAAAATTAGAGAAGAAAAGAAACGTTAGTTCAATAAACAAAATATAAAATAATTTCCGAGCCCACAAGTTGCTTGTGTCTTTAAGGAATTTAATCCCCTCGTTGTTGCTCAAGGTTATGGATTACTTCCTTCCAGGATAGAACGGAAAAACTATTCTGTAATACAGCAATCGAAATTACGGTACTTCAGCGAACTAAACAAACGGAGAAAATCATACTTGACACTTATTTAAATTTGGAAAAACAATGCAACAATGTAGAAAAGAGCAAAGCCTCTAAATTTATAGACAAAGGAAGCATAAGATGAAGAGGTGCAATTCAAAAGGTATCTCTTCTATTTCTCATTCACACCCATTCACGAAACCTAACAGATATAACTTAAATCCTTTCTCTAAATGCATGTATGTGTGCCCTCATGTTCTTAGCTTCTTGTTTCAAGCATTTTTTCTTTCAAGGTGCTTTACATTCATCTAGCACAATCCAGTGATCAGATGCAATTAATGTTAATGCAGATGAAGTTGCACTCTTCTGGGGTTTAGATTTCTACAACGATGCGTTGTTGCAAGCTGAAGAAAAGCAAGTAGGATCTGTGACAACAGAGATACTTTTACTTAAGGACATGAACTCATTTACACTTAGTAATGGATGGGCTTTTCCAAGAAGAGTATATTTCAATGGTGAGAACTGTGAAATGCCCCTTCCAGATACTTTCCCTATGCTTCCAAATGGTTGCTCAAAGAAAAATCCTTATAGCAGCCATCTTTCTCTTCTATTCTTGATTTATTTGACTTACAAAACACTTAATTTTTGGTCCTAGATCAAATTTTTGCAACTTCCTCCTTAAGATTACTTTTGCCCCACCTCGTGAGAATTAGCTCCATCGCTTCTATTTGATGCAATATACAGTCAAATCTCTCTATAACAACCTCGTTTGTTCCGAATATTTTTGGATATTATAGCGATGTGCTGTTACAGAGAACATATATTATAACATAACATAAAAATTGGTTCCGAAAAATCTTGATTTTGATAGAGAAGTGTTGTTATATATAGATGCTGTTATAGAGAGTTCTGACTGTAGTACGGAGGCTAAACGTGAGAAATCAATAATTACAGGGTGGATCCAATATCCACAACCAAATACAGAAATCACAGTTTGATATATTGATACTGAGAACAAAGGAATTGCAATAGAAAGTAATTATATTTAAGAATAGTAACAGAAAGAAAGGGGGATGGGAAGACTGAGCCACAGAGAGAAACAGACTAGGGAGAGAGAGCAGGAGGGGAAATTTCCAATAACAGTTTGCATAAGCGTACACTTGCACGAATTGATAATTATAGTATCTGTATTCCCTCTTGTCCAGTAATTCATCGACACCTGTACCTCAACCTGGGTCTCAATTGTAGTCTAATAACTTCTCTTTGGGCTGGTTAATACTCTGACTCACGCGTAACCAATTCCTAAGCCCAATCCATTTGGTTTGGTCTACCTTGTCCATTACAATACTCCCACCCTCAAAAAGAATCTTGTCCTCAAGGTTCGAGTATAACCTTATCAATAAGGAAAGGGTGTAGACATATGGTCGAATTAAGCCGCTTTGTCTTTGTTGCTGAATTGAATATGGCAGAGTTGACTGCGAAGCAAGATACTGCAAAATGTGATAAATCCTTATTTGACCATAGCTACTAGCTCTCTGCCAGTAGAAAAATATTTCTCTTCCTCTGTTCCTTAACTCCAACATGTTTTGATCAATCACGGTCTCATTTGTTGAAATTACCAAACAAAGAAAAAGGGTCATAGACATATGTAGTTTTCTTAGTGTTGGGGCACCACAAGTACATGAAGAACGACAAGTGAGCTTTACTATACATTGAAACCCATGAAATAAAAGCATCACCAAACATGTTTGCAATTAGGCTAAACATACCAGGTTCGTTGATTGCAAAGAACGAGGTTACCCTTCCTGATTATATCAAAGCTAAATGTGTCTAAATATGTAAGATGAGAAATTCCATATTTCACTCTCCCTTTAGCCAAACCCGTGAGGTGAGACGAGATATCCCTTTGTCTGCCGGGATCCCGCACCTTATCACAGAATCAGAATATGCACATAAGCAAAAATTGCCCCTAGATCCCAATAATAGTTGTGCCTCCGAGGTCTCTGTATGAACATATAGATTCATGGTCTTGGAATTAATTTCCGGATCCCATACACAAATAAGAAGCACGATTCTACCAAGACTAACAATATACATAATAGCACCGGAAACAAATGGAAATTGTTGCAACTTTATAGCTTCATACAACAACAACAACAACGACCCAATAAAATCCCACAAGTAAGGTCTGGGGAGGGTAGAGTGTACGCAGACCTTACTTCTACCCCGATGGGATAGAGAGGCTATTTCCGATAGACCCTCGGCTGAAGAAGACGAAAAGAGACAATATATCATACCATCAACAAACAAAAAAACCATGAAAATAATAACAACACAAGAACCAGCGAATGGATGGAAAGCATAAATAATAACCAGTAAATAAGGCCCGACACTATGAAAACGGAATAGTGTAAACACAACACTGACCACTAGCAGTCTAAGACAAAATCCTATCAGCCTAGCCTCCCTCCTAACCTACAACCTTAATGCTCGACCTCCACAGCTTCCTATAGAGTGACATGTCCTCGGAGATCTGATCACCTCTCCCCAATACTTCTTAGGCCGCCCTCTACCTCTCCTCGCACCCACTTTTGCGGCCAAATGCACACGCAAGTATACGCGATCGTCAAGTAATAAAGTGACTAAAAGTCGGATGTCGAACCCACGAGGACTTATGATTAACTATTAACTAAATTAGACTATCTTAATTATCTAAACAAGAATTAAACCTAGAAGTGTTTGATCTAAACTAATTAAAAATAAAGAAATATAAATAATGAACTTTGAATAGAGGAAGAGCAGATTTTTATGATATCAATGTAATGAAAACGATCTAGGGTTATGGGCTATCTAACATTCCTATTGTATTCTTCAATTGAATTGACTAACTAATTTATCTAGTTTATTGGTTGACAAGGTTAATATTGCTCATAAGAATCTGTCGAGTTCTTACTCGCCTATTCAAGCTAACTTAATGCCTATATGTCTATGGAATTAGAACTAACAAGAACGCATTTATAATTCCTGTAAATCAACCAAGCAAGGCAATTAGGTATATGTCTATCCTAACCGCGAATCCGTTCCCCGATGCCCAGGTTCAAGAACTTGCTCTACTCAAACCTATATGCAATCTAGAATTCTCACTTTCGAGTTCAATTCTAGATTCGTAGATAGTATTCAATTGGTGATCAAGCAATCAAATAATTAAGCGCAGGATTGAATAAATAAACTAATACGATAAATCAAGAAATCAAAATCAATATTCGAATAACAATAGTCATGAAAGAACCACAACCCTAGAACGTGAAGTTTAGCTCCACATAGACATGGTAGCCAAACAACAAATCATACAAAGAAACATAAAAATTACTAAGTTTGGTGGAAGAAAAGATGAAACCCGATGAATTTCGGCCTCCACGGCGGCTCTGTGTCAAAAGTATGTCCAACCCCCCAAAATACCGTTTTTCCATGTATATATACCAAGTAGGGTTGGGCCCAAACAATTATACCTTCTCCAATGTGAAAAAGAACATATTTCCCGGGTTTGACTAGCGCGGTCGCGCTAGTGGCCGCGCATATTGCCCGGTATTCTGCCCGACGAGCGCGGCCTGAGCGCGGCCGCGCTATTAACGAGCACTTTTCACCATGTTCCGTTTAGAATTTGGAAAAACGTAAAACATGAAGGTTGTAGCCCTTTGAGTTAGCTTTCCAACCATATATTGTGGAGCCTAAATGGAGTTCTGAGCAAAATGTTATGTGTATTTTACTAGACAGTACGCAATATGCCTACTCGAGTCTTCGTTTGTTCTTAACTATCAAAGTTGACCCCTGACACGATCCCGGCTTAATTCCTTGGGCTTTTACTCAGACTTCAAAGCTCCAAATCACTTGAATTCATTCCATAACATCTATATAGCTCGGAATCACTCCTACAAGGCATAAAACACACCGTTGGTGCAAAACACTAGCAATTAAAGCGCAAATTCAACTAAAGTGCAGTAAATTAGAGTGTAATAATTGACTAAAATACGTAGTTATAGCCTATCGTCAACACCCCACATTTAAACGTTGCTCGTCCTCGAGTCAACCAAAAATTTACTCTATCTATGAGCACTTAACATATTCAAAGCACACTACACCAATGATTATGGTCGATATCAACAATTAAACTCTAGCATATGCAATCATCATACACTTCCCTTTACTTATGTCATTCTTCAAAAAATATTCAAACAAAGACAATATGCTCACAACAATCCTAGCCACAAAAACTGACTCAATGTCACAATGCACTCATGACTTGAACACCCAACATCCTAGAGAAGTCTAATAATGTTACCTATCCTTCGTGAAACCATGTGCCCTCACAACCAAAGCAAAGAAAGTAAAATCAATCCACACATTCGAATCTCATGCTCACATATATCAAAGAAAATCGCTCACCCTCACAAAAGAAGTCGCATGCATATAATTAGTACCATAGGCTTGCCCTTAATGTAAATCTATACTAATGTAGGTTCGCTCGATCTAAAATCAATTAGGTCTTTTTCATGGTTGTAATATGGGCTAAGGGACGGGTAGGATATATTTAGGAATAGTGACTAACCCTCTTAAGCATTTTAACACACCACCTAATCAACTTTAAGCATAAATTCTTCAATCCACTTCACTTTCACAAACAATATCACCCCAAAAATGCTCCCTTCTTCTTTAAGCACTACATTAATTCATACCCACTATCAAGAACAAGACAACAATGTATTCATCTGTATTTTTTTTTCTTTTCTTTTTTTTCCAGATTATTCTTTCTTTTTTTTCAATTTCCGCTAGTGGTGTATTATTTTAAAAAATAAGTGCACATTTCTCTCTTTTATTGGTTCCACTCAAAAACCACCCCATACTTAGTTCCTTCTTACTTCTTTTAGCGCTCATCTCACGATTAAAGTTTTTAAGAGGAAAAAGGATCAAAACAATGTCAATTAAGAATAAAAAGGGTATATGCTTGTAATGTGGGTACCAAATAAAAGTCTATAGGCTTAAAAGGGTTAACTAGGGATAAATTTTATTTGTGATAAGCAATAAGCTCAAAAGATCAAAGAAAGCCTAAAATCCTTTTTTAAACCGAGCATCACCTTAAATTTCGCTTCAACTCACATACCGGGCAAGTTCTAGACACAAGTACAATACATAGACTACACAAAAACCTCACCACACATGGCACATGACTCACTAAGGACGATCCCATTTCGACTCTCAAACAAATGCAAGTATTCACGGAGTCACGAGATATTAAGCATTAAGCACAAAGCGAACATAAGTCAAGAAAATGAGACATAGGCGCCACAAAACATGTTATCCAAGTAAGCAAGGCATCATCAATAAATTCAAATCATAGGGAAGATACTACACATGCCAAAGCCTAAATATGCTACTATCAAACAAGTCAAGGGCGCCTAGGTTTATCTCATCTTTCTTCCTCCATTTTATTCCCTAAACTACTCTAAAAGAAAAAACTACCCGGTTCAAACTACATCCCATGGAAAAGAACCGAGGCACAAAGAAAAACCACGGGGGATTATTGCTACCTAAAAAAATAAAAGAAATATTTTTGGATTTTTCTATTTTTCACCCCTTTTTTTTATTTTTTTTATTGGA